TTTAAAAACGTCCTTATAGGACGAAACTGCAGTAATTTCACTAACGAAGTGGTGAAAAATATAGAAATTATAATTTCTTATTAAATAATTTACTCTGATTCCAGTAAAAATATCAAAGCGATGGAACAACCAAGACGATTTGCTTTTGTTTCTACATCTTGTGAAGTTCACTTCAATGAATCGTATTAGTCAAGAACAATTCTTAGCCAATTTATTTGACAGAAGAAACTTAATTGAAATGCTATTGAGAAGTTTGAAGAAGTTGGTATTGCTACAAGACAATCACGTGTTGATGCTGACGTCTTAATAGTTGAAACAGCGATTGAAAAATCAATCAATAATAACACAATTATCGTTGGCGAAAACATAAATCTGTTGTTGAATAGAACTGGCCGATAAATTGATAGTTTTAAATCTGTTGGTACCTTCCTCGAAGAAAATCCACAACTTTCAAACTCGATAAACAGTGACACTGAAAAAATATCCTGTTTCTGCATGTCATGACCGGATGTGATACAACTTCTGCACTTTTTGGGAAACTAAAAGTGAAAGTCATGAAGATGTTTATAGATAATTATAGATACTGTAGCTTTGCTAACCTAACAAGACAAAGAACAGCAGTGAAATTTATATTATTACCACCTACTTCTTCAGCAGTTCCAGAGCATATTTATCGAGTGTATTAACAAATACAAACCTAGCTAGGAACAGAAATTGATCCAGTACAGTGGGGTGGGGAGTTAAAAAATAATATAGATACTACAGCCAATAACAACTTTATTACCACCAGCTCTCGATGATCTACTGAACACAATTTTTGTAATAGTACAAAAGGTTGTTGCGGCAAATGTGGATGCAAAAACATTCGAATAAGATAATCAAAAGTTTGTGGACATTGCCGTGGTCAGTTATGCTTAAACACAAAGTCGACCAATACAGAGTCAATCATTACATATTATGGATCATGCTTACGGGAAAAACCATGTAAAAAAACGCGCCTTGCGTTCTACCTCGAAGGTGGTGAGTAAACGAGTGCATCGTCATAATGTAGTCGCTTTCTCAGCGCTCTACTCAAAAAAAGATTAATATTGCATAAAAATGCAGGAGGCATTTTTTGTAGATAATTTCACAACAAACAAATTTTATAATGATCTCTATTTACCTCCGAGCAATAGGTCGCGAAACGGTATCAATGAGACTTCACCTGCGTGGATACAGTTGCAACTTCACACCTTGCCGCTACGTCTAATTCCACTGGTGCAGCTGCTATGATTGCAGAAAAATCAAAATTTTGGAAATACTCCACTTTCCTTCTGTTTCTTTCCTGTTGCTATTGAAATCTTTGGTGTTTTTGGATCTCATGCTTCTGAATTGTTAAAACCGAGCCTATTCATTTTTAATTCAAAGAATCAGTTTCGCCATTCAAAGGGATAATGCCACATCGATATTGGACACTCTTCCGCTCACTCAATAATTAGATGAAATATTCCTGAACCCACAAATCAAATCAAAATTTCTTATGAACAACACAAAATGGAGTAAGCAGATTG